CTCGGCCACTGTCACCCAGGCTGGAGTGCGGTGGCACTGATCTCGCTGGACTGTAGCTCCGCCTCCCGGTTCACGCCATTCTTCCTGCTCAGACTCCGAGTAGCTGGGCAGCTCACGGCGCCCGCCCCACGGTCCGGCTCATAGTTTTGTATTTGGAGTAGAGACAGGGTTTCACCGTATTAGCCAGGATGGTCTCGATGTCTCTGACCTGGTGATCCGCCCGCCTCGGCCTCCCAAAGTGCTGGGATTACAGGCGTGAGCCACCGCACCCGGCCGAAACATTCTTATAAGAGGAAACTGTCTTCATGTTTTATATTTGCCTTAATTTTCTTTTATTATTTCCAGACCACCTCTGTTGGTTATGCTAAGTACTCCTTTTCTCTTTTTGGAATTTAAACTTTTTAAGGAAACAAAAATTAAAGAACAGAAAGCAAGACACATTGGAAATATGAACTCTTCTTTTACTGCATAAGAAATGAGAAGAAAAACTGTGTGTGAAATTCTGGAGTCTAAAATTAAAATGTAAACAGAGAATGCTCAGTGACCTTTTCGTAGGAGGCTCACATGAAGGAATGTCATGGTACATTGACCAAACTTTTATTCATTTGCATTTTCAGGATGTTGCTATTAATACCACATGACACTCAATAAATTACACTACGACATTTTGTACAAATCACTTCACTTCTGGTTTCCTCTTCGGCTGTGTTACTTCACCCTCTGGTTACCTGTAGGAAAAAAAAAATGTATTTTGGGGCTTTATTTTTAAAGGGAGATTCACAGTTTTAGTCAATGTAAAGATATTGGTTCCCAAACTGTGTTCTAAGGAAATAGCTATCTAAGGTATCTTTTTTTTTTTTTTTTGACGGAGTTTTTGCTCGTCACCCAGGTTGGAGTGCAGTGACGCCCATCTCGGCTCACTGCAACCTCTGCCTCCTGGGTTCAAGTGATTCTCCTGCCTCAGCCTCCAGAATAACTGGGACTACAGGCACCTGCCAGCACGCCCAGCTAATTTCTGTATTTTTAGTAGACACAGGGTTTTACCATGTTGGCTAGGATGGTCTCGATCTCCTGACCTCAGGTGATCCGCCCAGCTCGGCCTCCCAAATTGCTGGGATTACAGGCGGCAGCCACCGTGCCCGGCAATATTGGTTCCTAAATTGTGTTCTAAGGAAACAGTTAACCAAGGTATCTTATTTAAAAAGAAAAAAAAAAAGTTTTATGCTCTATTAAGTTTGGGAAATACTAGGTTAAAGAAAGCTAAACATGATTATTTCCAGTGGGACATCTGAGAGCCTTTAATTAGCTAACAGTGCATTGCAATTCTGCAAAGGAGGAACATTGTTTCCCAAACCTATCTGGCCATAGAACATATTTCTCAGAGTATTTTTCAAGAGTAGTATTTTCTGTAATATATGTTGAAAAATAATGGTATCAGCCATCTTTGTACGTAAGCTCAAAAGGTCAGCCAGCCCTGAAATAAATGTAAGCCAAAAGGTAGAAAGATAAGTGAATAAAGCTGGCACACTGTCAGTCAGGAGTACCATGCTGCATTCTGAGTCAAGCTCCAGGTTTGTCTCTTAAGAAGAAAAACAGGCGCGTCCAAAGCTTCTGGATTCCATTGAATTAAAACCCTTTTAAATTAAATCCTTGTAACTGAAGAGTATCGGTGGATGAAGAAAAAATAGTCTCACATGTCTTCATTTCCACCCTTGGCTCAGTACTGCTCCAGTTCCATTATTCTTAAACATCTATTAACATGATTGCTAAATAATTACACAGGCTAACTGCCAAGCATTTTTCACAGGAAGCAAGGCACTGCTCTTCTGGCTTATGCAAAAGGGTCACTTTGTTTTTTTTTTTTTAAACCTTTGTCTTGTTTTGATTGAAGAAACATCTCTAAAAATACCATCTGAGTGCAAGATAAAAAGGAAATAGCAATTCAAGGCACAAAGCTAAGTACATGCAACAATAAAGATGATTTGGGGGTGGGACAGTACAAAATTCAGGACTGATAGAAGTTATCAGCTCCGTATTTCAGAAAGACCTAGTGTCTTCCTCTGCTTATGCTGTTCTGCCAGAACTTTAATTTTGGCAGAGATCACCTCGATGTTATAATGTACTGATTCAGAGGTCCCAAATCAGTAGACCCGATCCTAGACAGATCCTCAAAGGTCAGCTGCCACTAGGTGTCCCCTTCTTGATCATCCTTCATGCTCCCTGGATTGGGGCATGGCTAAGCACTCAAGTCAAAGGATTAGTTGGCAATATCCTACACTGTCAACAAAGTTTTGAAGAAAAACAGAGAAACTGGTATTTACTAAGCACCTAAGTGACAGATTATTTTCATAAACGTTAGCCTATAAAACAAACAACTCTCCTGCCCCAAATCCAAACAGATCTTTTCCCTATTATTTACAAATAAAGAAAACCAGCTTAGACAGGTTATAAAATTTGCCTAAGGTCAAACCAAATGCGGATAAGCAAATTAGGTAAAATTCTGAGCCAGGTCTGGATGAGTCCAAAGTGTGTTTTACAGTATCATGCTGTCTCCTGATCATTACAAAATTTCATTTGTTTACAGAAGCACGAATGGCCCATTTATGCCTTTCCTCTCAGCATCTAGCAAAACATCTCAACTTTTATTACACCAACTTCAGGAGTCTTGATAATGTTTAGATCTTCTCATTCATTTGCCTAAATCAATAGAGCTATTTATTCTCAACTGTTGGCAATGAACTTTCTTAACTCAGCATTTTGAGAAAAAAAAAAGAAATTCTAAATACTTGAATTGCTTCATTTCATGCTCATTGTTTTTGGCATGCCTCCTTTTGGTTTTCTTTAAAAAGAGATTCTAAAATCATGGCATATTTAGATATGAAAAACAGGATGGAGAGCAATGGGAACACTAATCTGAAATAAGTCACATGGCCAGAGTACCTGTGTCTGTAGTAATCTCAAATTATACACTCTCGAATTTATTAAGCAATCCCTCATGTATGCTTGATTGAAAAAATAAAGCACTGCTGTAGAACTGTAGACTTGGATTCTACCCCACTCTTCCACAGTTGCCACTCTGGTTAAGTCTCTCTGATTGTTTCCTCATTACTTAAAATAAGTAGAGCTCTTAAATTCCTTCAAAAATTCCCAAGATTCTATAGTCAACTGCCACTCACTTGCCTTTCCAATGAATAAACAGTTTAAAAGAATTCAAATCCCACCGCCTTTACCCCTTTTTAAATTCTTTTGACAAGGACAAAGGACTTACCCATCCATCTTCCACCTAAATTTGCTTTTTAGTGACAGAAAAACCAAGCAGCAAAGAAAAAAGTATGGTCACTCATCTAGGCAAGAGTGATGTACATTGCTTGGAAAATAGCTGAGAGAGCAGCTTAACAGTCCACTTATTTTGGTTGCAGGTATCATACCTCATATCCCCTAAGGGAGAGAGAAAAATCAATCTTTTCCAGGAAAGATGGTAATACAGTAAAACTGCTTTCCCTTGCTTGGCCTGATACCATATAGTTACAAATGAAAATAATTCTGAGTGCATACAGATGCCCACAGCACCTGCTTTCAAAATCTTTTAAAAGTGCAATTACATAACAGGCTATCCGGCTTGATCCTTACTCTGATAACAAATAGACCTGGGTTTCCTAGTATCGCGTCCTTGGTATTTCACTCCTCTCATCGCCTCATCACTCTCATCTCCCCTCCTCACCTGACACTGACACAAGTATCCTGATGCAGTAGGACACATCATAAAATGAGAGTCTGGACCATATTCAACACAGCCTGGTAGAGCTGAGCAAACACTAGTTACTCAAAAATATAACTGACTTGACTTTCTGGGTTTAACTTCCTTATGAAGCAATCATTCCTTCAAAATGTCAGGACCAGAAGGATTTCAATGATAGTGTGCAGTTCTTGCTTGTTTCTTCAAAGATTCCTTGGACATGGCCAGGCCCATAGGTAGATGCAATAGAGGAGACACTCTGGGGGAAATGCTCCCCTTTAGATACTCTAGCAGATGATCAAACTGGGAAACAGAGAACTAGTGGGCAATTTTCCCCTCTACACATACACATAAACATTTCTTTTTTTTTTTTTTTTCCCCAGTTCTGGGCACCATGCCCAGGGACCTTATAAGCAGAGGTCCTTTGTCAGAAAACATTAGTCACATTCACTGGTAATTCTACCATTATAGCCTCATTCATGTGAAGACAACACAGTAATCTTAGTACACGCTTCTCAAACTACAAAGTGCCTGTGAATCACCTGGGGACTTTGTTGCAATGTAGATTTAGATTTAATAGGTTTGGAGCAGAGCCCAAACTTCTGCATTTCTATAAATACCAAACTTCAATACGATGTTGATGCTGTTGGTTCACAAATCATACTTGAGTAGCAAGGTCCTAAGTACCTCTGCTTTCCCATATTTGAACCACATTTTACCTGAAGGTCTCCTTGTGGCTGATTATCCCAAGAAAAATAAGGCAGAAAACAGAATTTCTGCCATGGGAAAATTCTACCCTGCACACAGGAGTTAAGTTCTCTGACTCTCATTGCCCAGACTCAGGATCCTGCTTCTTGCCCAGATTGATTTGGCAGAGTCTTCCTATTTAGCTGATGACAAACCCTGGCTCAGCCTCACCAGCCTTGGCTGATGCCACTCTGCCAGCAACCCAAACATTAGTGGTGTGGAGAACCTCCTAAAATATAGATTCCTGAGCTCTAATCCTGAGATTCTGACTCATTCAGTCTGAGGTGTGCCTCAAGAATAAACAGACATCTTAGGTGATTCTAAGATTTGAGAGAAGGAAATGCATGTGACCACTCTGATAGATCGGAGAAACCTGTATCTTACTGCCAGATATTACTTACATAAAGTAATATCTTTATGTAAAGAACAGTAAGAAAAAAGGAAACAGAATTTAAGCATTTGGTAGTATAACGGAAGAAACAAGTTCCTTCCCAATTTGGACACTTAAGCGTATTCATGGTTAAGTCTGGTGTATTCTATCCTCTTCTTTAGAGAAGTTCACTAAAAATGTGCAGTATATATTATATATTCTACAGAAAATGATTTTAATGTAGGTATGATTACAGATACACTCAGTGATCAAAACATGAGAGGAATGGTTATTTACTCTTCTGATTGAACAAATGAAACTAGAATTGTTCATACACATAATTAAAAAAAATATATTCAAGATACCGAAACCAGTTAATATAAGAACTGAACATTAATTAGTGACAGTAAAATGGCAGAAGCAAATATAAAATACAGAAAATAACTTTACTCAGAGTTTTTGAATGACATGTCCTCCTTTAGGACTACAGTTTGGCTACTTGGTCCCTTCTGGGGCAGATGTGGCATCCTGAAGTGTGTAAGCCTCTGCAGGTGCAGATACAGCTCCTGCCACAGTAGTGGTGGTCTCAGATAAAGCAGGGATGGCTTCTGGATTGGAACTGGCTCCTGTCTCACTGGCGGTGGTCTCAGTCTGACTAGGAGTGGTGTCAGTTTGAAAGGCTGGAGTTTCTTGACTGCAGCTGGTGTCTGTTGGACTGGGTATGATGTCAACTTGAACAGTCATAGCCTCTTCTTCTGTTTCCAATTCTGTTTCTTGATTTTGAACTTCCTCACCTTCTTCTACCATAGCAGGTGGTAGTTGTAATAAAGTCTAATTTAAAAAAAAAAAAAAGACAATACCAATATGAAAAACAGCTTATAAAGCTAAGCTCTCACATTATCATTCTAGAGTTCTCCAAAAGAGTGCTGACCATTTTACATTACAGACGTAACACCTCTGATGGCAATGGTCTAGGTCCTGCTAACACCAAGGAATATGCCTACACAGATGTCATATCCTGATAATCAAAATACATACAAAATCTTCAGAGAGGAAAACAACCATGAAAAGCCATTAGATTTTTAAGCAACAGACTTTGCTGTAAACATTTCTGCAAAAAATAGTGACTGATTAGGACTGATGATAAAACTAACTCAAGAAAGGGTCAACTTTAATCAAAGAGCCCTGTGAGCTGGGTGCGGTGGCTCATGGTGGCATTCCCAGCACTTTGGGAGGCTGAGGCAGGTGGATCACTTGAGGTCAGGAGTTCCAGACCAGCCTAGCCAACATGGTGAAACCCCATCTCTACTAAAAATACAAAAATAGCTAAGCTTGGTCCCAGCTAGTTGGGAGGCTGAGGCAGGAGGATCGCTTGACCCTGAGAGATGGAGGTTGCAGTGAGCTGAGATTGTGCCACTGCACTCCAGCCTGGGCGACAAAGTGAGATTCCGTCTGGAAAAGAACAGAACAGAACAGAGAAAAGAAAAGAGAAAGAGAAAAGAGAAGAGAAGAGAAGAGAAAAGAAAAGAAAAGAAAAAGAGCCCTGTGAGAGGTAGAGAGGAGCCTGGCCTTAAGACAAAGCCATGGGAGAAGGGGGAGCAGCAAGGAACAAGGTTTCCGTCCTGTTCAACCAGAAAACTGGAGCAACTCTATATGCTTAGCCTGCCCTTTGCCCCATGGCAGTCTAGTGACTTTCTCATCAGGGACTCTGCTTACAGTGCTGGCAATTGAAATTATTTATTTATTTATTTATTTATTTATTTATTTATTTTATTTATTTTATTTCATTTAATTTATTGAGACAGAGTCTGGCTCTGTCGCCCAGGCTGGAGTGCAGTGGTGTCATCTCAGCTCACTGCAACCTCCGTCTCCTGGGTTCAAGCAATTCTCCTGCCTCAGCCTCCCAAGTAGCTGGGATTACAGACATGTACTACTATGCCTGGCTAATTTTTGTATATTTAGTAGAGGTGGGGTGTCACCACATTAGCCAGGCTGGTCTCGAACTCCTGATCGCAGGTGATCCACCCACCTCAGCCTCCCAAACTACTGGGATTACAGGCATGAGCCACCGTGCTCAGCCTTGAAGATTTTTTAAAAGTACCATGCACGATAGCAGCAAAAAAAAAAAGAAAAAGAAAAATACTTAGCAAAATGTTAACAAAGTATGTGTAAGGTTTGTATATTGAAAACTACAAAACCCTGATGAGAATTCAAAGATCTAAATAAATGAGAGATCTTATTCATGGATAGGAAGACTCAATAAATGAAGATGTTAATCTCCTCAAATGGATCCTAAACAATGGATCCTACTCTTCAAAATACCCTTTAAAAACTGCAGCATGCCTTTGGGGGTAGAAACTGACCTGCTGATTCTAAAATGTATATAGAAAAGCAAAGGAACTGGGATAGCTAAAACAATTTCTAAAATGAAGAACAAAGCTAAAGGACTTATGTTATCTAATTTCCAGACTGACTGTAAAGCTACTATGATCAAGGTAGTACAGTCATGGCAAAGGGATATACAGAACAATGGAACAGAATAGAAAGCCCAGAATAAGACTTTCACATATATAGTCAATTGATATTTTGACTAAGTTGACAAGCAAGTCAACAAAGAAAAAAACAGCCTATTAGGAAAATGGTGCTGAAACAACTGGATATCCACAGGCAAATGAATAAAACTCAATCCTACCTGTATCATATAAAAAATTAACTCAAAATGCATCATACCTAACCATCCAACCTAAAACTACACAATTTCTAGAAAAAAACCTTTGTAACTCTGAGTTAGGCTATTTTTAGGACACAAAAAGCATGAATCATAAAAGAACAATTTGATACATTGAACTTCATCAAAATTTAAAACTTTTGCTCTTTGAAAGATACAACATAAATAAACAAGCCAGAGTGGGTGAAAATATTTGTAAAATACATATCTGATAAAGGACTTGTAGCCAGAATAAATAAAAACCTCTTGAAACTTAATATACAATCCAATAAAAAAATGAGCAGGAAACCTGAGCAGACACATCCCCAAAGATATACAGATGGCAAATGACCACATGAAAAGATGCTCAATATCACTAGTCCTTAGGGAAATGAAAATTAAAACTAGACTGAGATCACTGTATATCTATTAGAACTGCCAAAATTTTAAAAAGGCCTACCATATCAAGTGAGGGTGAGGATGTGTAGCAATCAGAACTCTCACACTGCTGGTGAGAGTGTAAAGTGGGTCAACCACATTGAAAAACAGGTTGGCAGTTTCTTAAAAAGTTAAACACATCCTTAACATATAATCCAGCCATTCCACTCTTAGGTATCTACCCAAGATAAAGTGCAAAGACTTGTATAAGCAATAGTAGCCGGAAAAAATAAGAATACACACTGTAGATTCCATTTATATAAAAATCTAGAAAATGGAAGCAAACCTATCATGACAGAAAGCAGATCCTTGGCTGCCTGGGAAGGTAAAAAGGGGACTGGTGAAGGGCAAGGAGGGATTACAAATGGGCACAAGCGAAAACTCTTGGGATTATGGATATGCTCTTTATCTTGACTGTGCCGGCGGCTTCACAGGGAAACACCTATGCCAGAACATATAAAATTGTACACTTTAAGTTTGTGGACTTTATTGCATGTGGAATTCTATCTATATAAAGATGTTTTAAAAATATGAATGTTACATAAATAACAATAGCCTGCTTTAGTTTAGTTGATTTCCCACAAGGAATTAGGTACTTTAAAGATTTATTCTGAAAAAAAGAAAATTATTTCTACAGCAAGAAAAATAAAAGTCAATTTTGAGAAACTCACCTGATGATAATGATGTGTAGTCTGTATCAAATGCATGTACATGTTGTATACAAAGTTTGCCATCTGGGGCATATTTTTTATTATTTGTACTTCATGAGATGGTCTCTCTCCATTCTAGAAAAAGGAAAAAAGAACGTTATCTAGTAAAACAACCCTAGAAGGTAACACTTCAACATAAACCCATTTCTTAATCTTATGAATAAACATGATTAGGGTATGGAAGAACTAACCGTAAGAGGATATAAAATGCAAGTATGAAGAGTAGAATGAAGACTTCATGAATGTTAAAAAAAAAAAAAAAGACTTAAATAGAATAAAAAGGGGGCCCAGGTCAGCATGCTCTGCCTGCTGGCCACGTGACTCCCATTAAAAAAAGATTATTAAAAAAAAAAAAAAAGACTTCATGAAGAATAGTGATTCCACTGAAATTTAGAAAAGTTACAGAGACCAGAAGAGCTAAGAGTCGCCAGCTTTTAATATAATTTTGTGCTGGTAAGTGAAGTATGGGTTTTAGTTTACTATCTAATATGAAAGAATTAGTAAGAGATAAGTAATTATTTGACTAGAGAGAAAAGTCAACATGGTCTGAAACAGCAGTTTCTAAGACTGTGCATGCTCCAAAGACAGTTCATAAGATAATTCAGAAAGAAAATAGTAACACTCTTTGTCCTATTTATATTTTCCTAAAAAATAAGAGGCTAACATTTACTTTTATTTAATACATGACTATGAGTCAAGAGGGTGAATATTCAAACGCTCTTTTTAAAATTTTAGTGTCTATCAGACTGGGGTAGACTGTTAAATTGCAGGCACCTAGGCTCCAGCCCCTACAGATTCGGATTCAGAAGGTCTGGGTGGAATGAGCTGATTCTTTGCAGCTTCTGACAACAATCTAAGAAACAATGCTCTGTAAGTGTAGGCAAAGTAGTAAAGCAAATCGAGAAAATACAGAACTTGCACTTCTTTGTAAACCACCCTAAAATAGAGATTAACAACTTTCTTATTTATAGTTATTAATAAAATGTTTATAAAGTCTTATCCTTTCTTATGATAGGAACAATTTAGAAAACCATTAAGGTAAAAAACATACCCCAAAAAAGGAGGATTCAATCTTAAAGTGACAAATTATTTAAAGAACATGAAGTTAGAAATAATTTAGTAAATTAAACAACACTTCTCAGAAGTAAGCAGGATGGCAGCATTCCATCTAAGCAGGTATTCTTTTGATTAATGGTTATTTTCTGCAATGGTCAGAACTCGTATGTACAAATACTGCCATGTTATTATGACTAGGAACATGGAAGAGTTTTTGTTTGTTAGCTTATTTTCTGGAGTCTTGCCAAGAACTGCCTTTCCTTGAGACACAGCACTCTCTGCCCCTCACTATGTCTTGAGCAGAAGATGGGGAGATGTTCTCAGCCCTAACCTCCCCTGGGTCTTGAACTCATGAGTGTTATCTAAAGTCTGGGTTTCCAAGCCTTCTGTTCAGTGATACTGTCTGACCTGCACTTCAGATTTCTTCAGGTGTGATGTGTAGCCCTTACATAGAAAGCACCTGGGGAGCTTGTTACACATGATGACACCTAGGCTCTGTCCCAGACCTCTTGTCAGGAATTTGCCTGTTTAACAGCCCACAAAAGATGGAGAAACTCAGATATAATAGGATTGTGTCTAGACTTGAGCCTGACACTTGAGGTTTTATGTGACCCTACCACCCCATGATCTCTCTCCACCATTTTCCTATTTCTCCACAGCAGCATTTCTTCAAAAATAAGTAAATAAAAAGGCAGTTTTTAAAAAGTACTTATTATTATTAAACACACAAGACTTAAGATTTTTTTAGAGGTGTGGAGGGAAGACATATACTGTGAACATCTAAAATAATGTTATTTAAAACCCAATGGACCCCCAGGACAATTCATTAAATAAAAAAGCAAAGCCCAAAAGTCTATAGCATAATAACCTTCATGTAAGAAGGAAAATAATACAAAAATAAACATATCTCTTCTCCTTTATACAAAAGGAATATAAGGATTAAATGAGAAACTAAAGAGACTGGTTACCTAAGGAGGGAAGGTGCTAGGAAAAGGGGAGAAAGAAGGGGGGATAAGAGGGAGTAGTATTTCTCTATCTTTTCATTAAATATATGTGCTCTCTCCTCCCTCATTTCCCCAGAATGTAAGCTTCTTAAGAACTCAACTATTTATTGCTCTATTTTCAAGTAAGTAGTTAAGTTCTCCTTACAAAGCTGAAGACGAACAGTATAGAATAATGATAAATTACATGAACTCGGATGTTATTCGAAAAGACCTCCTGGCTTTTCAGATCTTGGATCCTCTATCTGCTAGATGCATGGCCAAGCTATTTAGCTTCTCTGACCCTAAGTTTCTCCATTTGTAAAATGGGGTTAATAAAATAATCTAATAACCTAATAGGCTGTTTTTACTGAGATGAAAGTGAGATAATGTAGTAAAGAACTGTCTGCCTAATACATGGTAGTGACTAAATGTGGGCTGACATTATTATTTTTAATTTTTATTTATTTATTTATTTTTTATATAGAGACGAGGTCTCGCTATGTTGCCCAGGCTGGTCTCAAACTCCTGGGCTCAAGCAAATCCTCCTACCTCAGCCTCCCAAAGTGCTGGGATTATAGGTATAAGCCACTGCACCCTGCCGGTATTATTTTTATATAGAAAATCTAACTCAGTTCTTCAGTGCAGCACACTCTAAAACAGGGACTAAATTATCTATAATAATGCTCCAAGCTAATGTGGTCACCTATAAGAAAATCCCAATTTCCCACTCTGAGGAATGCTGTCTGTAAAATGAAGAAAGAAGTCCTACCTTTCTAGTGGTTGGGAAAGGTTCTGTTGGAATTATATGCAAATGAAGGGGTCGAGCTGTGAGCTGACTGAAAGCTGGAGTCAGTTCAAAACAGTTTTGAAAGAGGGATACTCTGGCGAAGATATAAAGTCCAAGTCTGGCTCTAGACATGGCCACTACCAAGCGACGGACATCCCTTTAGGAAATAAACAAAATAATTAGCACACTTCAAGATTATTAACATTTATGCAGCTTTTTGTTTTGTTTTGTTTTTTACATATTTCATTAGATAGTTGTGTTAAGCCCCGGCAATAAAAAGTTAAGCTTCTTAAAAACTTAATAGAAGTTAATCAATGTTACATGACTAATAAACCAAGCAAAAGTTAAGGCTTTATTACTAACCTCTTGTTGGTTTTTTGAGGGGGAGGATCACAAAATAACCAATGCATTTATTTAAAAAGTCTAAGTAATATATTAGTATTACAGTATAGTTCAATCATCAGTTACCAACTTAATGCATCACTGTCATTGAGTCAATCTGAACTAGCTCTTCTTCCACTTCACCTACCAAAATCCCAGGCTCCATCAAGGTAAAATTTTACTTCCTAGATAACTCTTACCACACTGTTTTATACTTATTTACAACAATAAGTACAAATGGAAATATAGTATGATGCTATAAAACAATCCAAGTTGAGCATCTCTAATGTGAAAATTCAGAATCTGAAACTTCAGATAAGGGACAGTCAGCCTATAATATATCTTATCCATGTATTTATTCTAGTATTTAGATTCAATGCCTGGCCTATAATAGGTACTCAGTATTCATAAAAACAGTGATAAAAATGGTTGAATTGAATTATCAAACTATACATGTAGCTGGCTATCTGATGAATCATGTCATTTTTCTTTAATCTATTTTTTAAAAGAACCTAAGTTTTTTAAAAAAAGGTTTGAATCAAATAAATGTAAAGAGGGCTAATGTAATTTCACCTCACTATTAGATAAAATGTGTTTTAGTGAGAAAAGATAATTCTGGTTTCAAATGCGGAGGACAGTTTTTTTACTTGAGATGTTTTTAGATGGCTAAATTTTTGAGTACTATGCAAAAGAGAAGACTTTCATGAATAATAAAGCCTGGGAGAATCACCTCCAATCTCTGAAAGAATGTGTAAAAGAGTGTTACAGAGATCTAATGTTACAGAGATTACTCTCTGTAACATTCAGAGAGACAGAGAAAACCAGGAACTGGACGATTTATCTAATAGCTTTTCTTTGTGTAATGCAAGATATTTGGGGAGTATCTCTAATTCAACCTCATTTTCTGTGGTGTTTTATGGTCTAGTCTATAGTCTTAAAAGAATCTAGTTTCCTTAAGGAGGTACAGTGTGACACCAGCATATACTATCACTTATATTCTTGTGTTATGTGTATGTGTCTGAGGGGACAGCGCAGGGAAAGGTAGCCTTCCCCCAGCAACAAACAAAATTAAGACATGCTCATTTAGGTAGAAGGAAAAGACATATTCCTTTACAGGAACTTTGAGGAATTTCCACATTTGTGACACACTGGATTCATGAAGGAAATATTGTTTTCTAGTTTACTGTAAGCCAAATTATTATTTTTGCCATATTTCCTTAGAACCCCAAGGGGTCATACTACAGTTGGGTGGTTCCAACACTGGTAACTGAAGGTACACTGCTAGAAATACTTAGCATAAATTCTCACACAAATGTTACAAATAAAATTATGGTGGAATTTAATGTTGTTTGGGGGAAAAAGGGTTAGTGGTGGAAGCAGGTGACAAACTGTTGTTTTCATGGTGACCACTGTAATCCCCCTCACATCCAGAAGGCCCTCTCTCTAGACAGAGTGCAGGTACAGCACTATTGCAATGAACACTGTATGGTCTCTCTGAGAAAACTTTTCCCCAGCCATCAGTGCTATAGTGCATTAAAGTGGCTTTTGTAAGTGTGATCTCCATTGTACATGAGGAAATTTGAACTAAAAATTTTCTGCAGATTCAAATGTAGGGATCTTCCAAGGATATATTAATGAATCTGTCACTAGACCCTAAACTCCAGAAGGGCAGAGATCATGAATGTTAGATCTATTACTAAATATTAAGAATCTAGCACACTGACAAACAATGGATGGATCTGAAAATGTTTGTTAAATGAATGACCAAATTCTATGAACATAACAAACCACCAGGCAAAAAAACAAAGGATGGTAACATGAGTAGGCAGAGCTCCTTGGAGTTACGTCTTGAAAGCAGGGCAATGTGGACTGCAACACTCTTTCTTAGTCCCCAGAAGATGGCTGGAGAGGAAAAGCACTGTTAAACAACAACGCCAACACTCTGATAGAACCCCTATGAGGAAACAACAGAGGAAAGCTGCAGCCTCATTACTTGGCTCAGAACAGGTTACACGCATTTCTATTGGTAGCTAGGCTGTCCAAATCAGTTCGGTACAAGAACAATGAATGCTGGAAAAGGGACCAGAACTGTACCACTACTCTGGCTACTAAACAGCTCCACATTGTCCTAAAACAGGCCTCTGGAACTGAAGCTGGCTCCAACCCAATCACCCAATTAGTCCACCCTGGCTGAAAAAAGGTGTGAGCAAAAGAAATAAGGCAGGCACTTGGAAAACAGTCTAACAGTTCCCTAAAATGCTAAATACAGAGTTACCATATGACCCAGAAATTCTACTCTTAGGTCTATAACCAAGTGAAAGAAAAACAAATGTTCACATAAAAACTGTATATGCATATTCATTGCAGCATTATTCATTCTAATAGCCACAAAATGGAAACAACCCAATGTGCAATTGATGAATGGATAAATAAAATGTGACATAGCCACACAATGGAATACTATTCAGCGATGAAAAGGAATGAAGTACTGATATATTCTACAACAATGAACCTTGAACATATATTAAGTGAGAGAAGCCAGTAACAAAAGACCACATATTATATGATTCCATTTATATTAAGTGTCCAAAATAGGCAAATCTACAGAGATAAAAAGTAAATTAGTGGTTGCCAAGGGTTTGGGGGACAGGGCAGGGAAGTGATTGCTAAGTACAGGGTTTCTTGCTAGAGTGATGAAAATGTTCTAAAATTGATTTGGAGATAACTGCATAGCTGTTAATATACAAAAAAATCATTGAATTGAACACTTTAAATAGATAAATTATATATGCAAATTACATCTCAATAATGTTATTAAAAAAATGAAATATGGCAGGAAGTAGGTTTCCCTGGTATCCTGAAACAGAAATAGTTTCTTGCCTATATATAAAAGGAAGAATTTGAAAGATTAGCTTTCTAAAAATCAGAAATTTTTATTAAAAGTTTGATAAAATTCTAGCTAAGATACCTAGGCTAAGCTACCTGGGTAACTGGAATCATAAATAATAAACTGACATATCACTTCTATGCACAACCGCCACCAACACTATCCCCCATGAAGAAGTTGGCGTTTCAAAGGAAAATTTTGGCAAATACAAATAAATTTACCTTATTGGGATAAAGGTATTTTTGCTAGAAAATGTTGACGTTCAAGACAATACTGAAATCGGGTGTTCTTTTAACCCTTCATTTATAAGCATTTTATCATCAAAATCTTTCTTTTTTTCTAAGTTTACAGAAACATTAGGCAAAGGGCAGCATAGAACTAAAGTCACTGGAATTTGAAGACCAAGTACCACAGAGTTAAGAAAACAGGTAGGGAGAGGAGGGGGGCGGAAGGAGTGTTCATATATTCATACTGTAAGTTTTTGAGATGTTAATTATGTAAACCATAGTGACAGCCCATTCAGACGGCAGTTTATAAATCTCAGTGAGAAGAAAGAATTGCTTTTTAGAAAAGTTAAGTCTGTAAATACTGGCTTGACACTTAATATGCAAAAACAAACTATTTTAGAATGCGAAACAATTTCTTAAACCATTACATCTTTACTTACCCTTACATAAAAGTTATCAATCTCATGAAACCTGATTACTGGGTTAAGCTTCAAATAGATCTTAATGACAATATTATGAGAGCCTGGAGAATTTTCTTTTCATGTCTATCCAATAAAGTAATAAAATAAACTCTCCTTAGTTTTGTTAGTATGTCATATAACATGAAGGTTTATATAAAACTAAATGGATGCTTTATAATAAGAAGATATTATTTCCATAAATCTCTAGCACATATATACATCATAATAAATGATAAAAATAGATTGTTTGTTTTGACAATTCTTAATCCAGGGAGAACAAATGGCTCCTTTATCCTCTAACACTGAAGCTGAAAGATTGTGTATGAAAAAAAATGAGAAAACATATTATACAATGAAAATTTATTCTGAAGACTTTAATTTCTTTATCTCCTTTAATTTCTGATATTACGTTTCTAACAGATACAGGACAGATTAAGATTTTATGATAAAATGCTATCTCTGAGTGTTACTAAAGAGTAAAACTGTTAAAATTACTAAAACATTTAAGAGTAAAAACATCCAGCAGCAATGACAATAGTTACTACAAGGAATCTGATGTTACATTCCAACAAAAAGCAGCAAATGTTGCCGAGTAATTATAGTTTAAACTTAAAAAATATTTAGAACACTTAGCCACAGAATTTCAAAATTGAAATAGATAGTAAAGTTCAATAAACATTATGAAAGTTTTTTCCTACGTACCTCAGATGGCCCACTGCCCTGGTTCGTACCAGAGAAAGAAGAATATAATCATTCTGTTGACCTTGAAATCTATCAACAGTTGTCACCTAGAAATAAAAAATGGAAAATATGGTGCATTTGCAAAGCCAAAAGATGCTAGAGATCATTTAAATAATGTGCTACAAACAAACATCTTATCTTTAAAATAATCAAACCCAAAAGAAACATAATCATAGACTTGGAATTCCAAGAACAAGTTAATGAACGTTATCAAATAAACCATACTAACCAGATCAAACTACATCCTTATGTTATTCACACTTATAGCACTTGTCTTCACCTTTGCTGATAACTAAATAACTATTTTTGGAATTAACAGTCTTCCCCCATTAGACTGCAAAACTTCATGAAAGCGGGGACTATGTCTAGCTTATTAACTGGTATCCCAGTTTGATGCTCAGCAACATAACTTAGTATGCTTATTTATTAATTAACATACCACTAGTAAATGTCTACAGCATTCCTCCATCAAAGAAAAAAAACAAATAATCTTCATTGTACTTTCTGTTCAGTTTGAAAATATATGTACATGGGAGGCCAAGGTGGGCAGACAGCTTGAGCTCAGGAGTTACAGACCAGCCTGGGCAATGCGGTGAAATCCCATCTCTACAAATTATATAAAAATTAGCAGGGCATGGTGGCATGTGCCTGTAGTTCCGGGTACTCAGAAGGCTAAGTTGGGAGGATTGCTTGAGCCCAGGAGGTGGAGGCTGCAGTGAGTTGAGATCATGACACTACACTCCAGCCTGGGTAACAGAGTAAGACCCTGTTTTGTTTTGTTTTGTTTTTTAAAAAAAAGAAGAAAAGAAAAGAAACAGTGTATGTACAAATAGGGAAGTTCAGAAAGGTTTCAGTCACTAATATTGGCAACTCAGGCATTTATCTTTTCATCAATTCAACAAAAAGTTTATTGCTTACCCTGCAGAAACGGTAATTTATAGTCTATCTTTAGGAAGTGTACAAAACACTTTTTAAGTCAACTACATGGAGGTATAGTTTCTACACAATAAAATGTGTTCAAGTGTACAATTTGATGAATTTTGACAATACATTTTCCCATGTGACCACCACCACAATAAAAATGTCCATCACCTCAGGCCTCATTTTGGTCAAATCTGCATCCACCAGCCCCAGGGAACCACTGATTTACTTTCTGTCACTATAGATTATTTTTTGCCAGTTCCAGAATTACATAAAAATAGCATCAAAAGGATATATTATTTTGTGTCCTATTTCTTTCAATCAGCATGTTTCTGAGATATATTCATGTGTGTGTACACAAGAAATTCATACCTTTTTGAGTATTCTCTCACTGAATGAATATTCCAGTTTATCCATTCACCTGTTCATGAAAATTTGGTCTGTTTCTAGTTTGAAGCTATTTTGCATAAAGCTGCAATAAATATTCATGTACAAATATTTTTGTGGACATGTTTTCATCGCTCTTGAATAAATATGTGGAAGTGAAACTGCTGAGCTGTACAGTAAATGCATACTTCATAAGAAACTGTCAAACTTTTCCAAAATTGCCATCCCACTTTACACATTCACCAGCAATGTTCCCGTTCTAGAGTTTCAGTTGTTGTAGATCCTTGCCAACACTTGTCATAATGTCAATCTTCATCATTTTACATATTCTTTTGGGTAGGTAGTGGTATATCATTGTAGTTTTAATTTGTATTTCCTTGACAACTAATGATGGTAAGCACTTTTTCATGACTTATTGGCTAACTGTAGGTCTTCCTATGTGAAGTGTCTGTTCAAGTCATTTGCCCATTTTGTATTGGTCTGCCTTATTTAGTAATAACTTTTATAGGAGTTCATATATATTCTGGATATAAGTCCTTTGTTGTTATGTGTGGCTATTATACCTGGGAATTCTTTTGCCACTCTGACCATGTGGAGAAATGGGCTCACATACTGACATTGGCAGGGCAGAATAACATCATTGAGCTACCCTGTAACCCAACCTTGGAACCACCCTATTTCCATCTTGTTATGAGAGACAGTAACTTCCCTTATTATTTGAGTCAGATTTTCTGTAAAAGGACTCAAATATTGAGGTCCTTCTATTTCTAAACTTGCAAAATTATTAGTTTCTTAGTTTCACTCTATTCCTTATGAAGTATTCTGCAGTGTCTATTCTTCCCTATATTCCTTTGATTTTGTTTTCATTCCACTGATTTTATTTTCTTCCGGCTTACATTTCATCTCTTTCTGAGTTCTTACATTTCTCTGCTTTGTAGCTGTTCCTCAAAGATATGGTTACTTCATTAAGTATTTTCCAATTTACAGCAAAATGTATATTTAAAAATTTCATCTTTTCCAGGCCAACATGTTTTCCAGAGCATGTATCCTATCTATGTTTTTCTGTTCTTCATTTTTTCCTATAAATTGAGCTTGTGCTAGTTCCCTTTATACTATTTATCACTGAATAAGTAAGTTGCTTAGATTAGCTACGTGTGAGACGTTAAGATGGGGTGAGCAAGGCTGTTTTCTGAAGGCTGGATGATTTTCATAACAAAAGGCCCTCTTTTCTTCTACTACTGTCCAGATAGTCTATAAAAATAGAGTTTGTCCCCTCTTTCTGTCATTTTCCTGTTACTTTTGCATAATTTCCAAAAAAGGTGAGCTTCTACATAGCCATGTTCATAACCAAAGTCCTAATTTTATCATTAGTATTATCTTTATGTGTTTTCTAATGTATTCAACACTTCATTAATGAAAGAAGCATCATTTTATTTGCTATTATGCATTTTTCATTATATAAAAAAATATTTTTTTAAATCCCAAGGTCTGAATACATTTTACAATCTTCCCTTATTCCCAAGACAACCTCCCCTTATACACAATAAAAAGCAGTCTAAATTATATCTCTGCAAAGCAAAATAAACATACTCCTCATTACAGTACACAAATTATAACGTAATTTTGTTATATATCATTTTATGAACAAAAAGTTTCAGAAACATTTATTTCTGTTACCATCAATAAATATCTTTTATGCAGTAGTTGAGATAGAAAGTCACAGCAAACCAGCAAGACTGCCAGATAGGGTTGTCAGAGAATTATTTATAGTTACCATTATTGCATTTTCTCAACTATCTTAAAAAGAGATAGCAAAGAGACAAAGTAGAACAATATAAACCTTTCCATCTTGCCAAAATGATGAATAAGAGAACTTATTATAATTATAAAAGTACCTTGTTTGGTCTTCCAATCAATGGATTGTTTCCACATCGTCTATTGATGATGTCACGAATAAGATGCTTTTGGCCATTATACGTTGTCAGAATACTGATTTTGTCAGCAGGATAACCAAGTAAACACATGTACATAAAAAGTGCTACTACGTATTCTGCCTCTCCAAGATTCTGTAATGCAAACACAATCAAATTGTGCATTTATTTGCTTTTGTTTCAATTTTATAGAGGAAATGTCTGATGTAGATAAGCACAATTTGTTCACTTTGCACACTGCAAGAAGTGAAGACTTAGTAACTTGGATAAGTGAACACCTTTCATAAAACTGAGAGATAATCTTATGCTACATTAACACTGATAAATAAATTTTAATTTGCAATACATGGAACAATCCTAAAATAAAACTTACCAACTTAAAGGCTTAATATTCCTAAGACCACAACAATCCCAATATAGATTAATACTATTCTGGCCAGGTATGGTAGCTCACATCTGTAATCCCAGCACTTTGGGAGGCCAAGGCAGACAGATCACTTGAGTCTAGGAGTTTGAGACCAGTCTGGACAATATGGTGAAACCCTGTCTCTACTAAAACACAATTATTAGCTGGGCGTGGTGGTACATGCCTATAGTCTCAGCTACTCTGGAGACTGAGGTGGGGGGATCGCTTGAGTCCAGGAGGCAGAGGTTGCTGCGAGCTGCAATTGTACCTCTGCAATCCAGCCTGGTGACAAAGTGAGATCTCATCTCAAAAAATAAAAAATAAAAAATAAAAAAATTCTATACAGTGTACCACAACTACAGTTACACAGAGACACAAAACTATAAAGGAACAAAGTAACTAAGAAGCCAATACAGGGCCGGGGGCGGTGGCTCACGCCTGTAATTCCAGCACTTTGGGAGGCCGAGTAAGGTGGATCATGAGGTCAGGAGATCGAGACCATCCTGGCTAACACGGTGAAACCCCGTCTCTACTAAGAATACAAAAAATTAGCCGGGTGCGGTGGCGGGCGCCTGTAGTCCCAGCTACTCGGGAGGCTGAGGCAGGAGCATGGTGTGAACCCGGGAGGCGGAGCTTGCAGTGAGCTGAGATCGGGCCACTGTACTCCAGCCTGGGCGACAGAGCGAGACTCCGTCTCAAAAAAAAAAAAAGAAGCCAATACAAATACAATACCCAGTTTAACAGCATATACACCTAGCAGTATTATAGTTGACTCAATTTTTACACAATGCTTTTCCTTCTTCCTCATGTTTCTTAATGTTTTTTGTATGCTTTGTTTCTGTTCTCTGCATGATGGTTGTCACTTCTACTAGATCACTTTAGGTGGGATGAGGATGTGACCTCAAATTGGTCAGTCTGGTTTACGGTTAAATTACAGACTAGTAAGGAGCTTAAAACTAAGGCTTATTCAACCTAAAGGTGAGGAATCACACACAAAGCTGTTTGATCCAGTTTAGTAGAGACTAAATCCAAAGTACTAGATGAAAGAAGAAAGTAAAATAAGAATATAAACACAATATTTAAAAAAAAAAAAAAAGGAAGCTGGATTTCATGCAAAGGAAACAAAGATTACTGTAAGACTTCTAGAAATATCATTCATATTCTGGTTCTTTGTGACACACAGCTTGAGTTACAAGCATTTAAGTTTTCTTGTTCTTTAACATTTCCCAATTTGGTACTTTGCCCAAAGGTTAGACATGAAGCATTAACAATAAAACAACATGAACTGTATTGTGACCAAACATTTTAGAACTTGCTCCAAATGAGTCAAGTCCTCTTCCAATTAGTGACTTTTATTCATTTATCCACCTAGTCTTTCCCTCTCAGACACTAATTCTTCGAATATTATCACTTAAATGCATAATATTCTTATTTTGGGGGATAGTGTTTTCAACTCTTCAGAAATATATTTAATAGTGGCAAATCATCATCTGAAAATACATTTATTTCTTGACTCGCTAAAAACTCATCTAGAGTTAGGCTTAATGAAAAAGAAAAACAGGTAACCAATCTGCATAAAAATGCTTCAATCCATAGTACAGTATGACTCAAGCAATGAAACTGACTCAAAGGAGAAATTCCAAAAACTGTTAATGTAATGAAAACATCAGTTGATTACTGACAGAATACTTAATTAATTTCTAAGGTGGCCATTAGGAAACATCACTGATTTGAATTAGTTTCTAATATTTTTAAAGTTATCATTTAAAAGGTCACATCTGTTCTCAGGCAGTAAGTACACAAATAGAGTAACTTGATTTAATATAACCAAATATTTGGAGGGAAAATAAGATCTGCATGAGTTACATCTACACATACACATTTAAGCTGATGATCTATGATGCTTTTTCATGAATAACTCAAGATCTCTAATTTATATAACAACCTATATTGGATATTTTGCTGTAAAGAGAGAGAGAGAAAAGAAAAATTTAAAATAACCCCAAATGCTATCAACCAAAGACTATATTTTGATGTATACGCTGCCAGGTCATTTTGTATAGATTATCTGCACATATTTCTATATGTATATATTGCTGCTCCTTTTTAAAATGAGATGACTATAGATACACTTTGCAATTTTTTTCCACTTAATATAGCATAAACATTCTTCCTGTTAGTAAACACAATGTTATCATTCTTAGTGGCTATCTAGTATTTCTTTTATATGGAATGTAATAATGCAATTAATCCCTACTGACAGATATTTAGGTTGTTTCTCATTTCCAAAATAATTTGCAGTGATGAGCATTACGCATACAAGTCTTTGCAAACTTGCCCAATTATTTTTGCGGATAAATTCCTAGAAGTGAGAACATTGTTTTTAATATATGTTAACAATCTGTCCACCAAATTATTTTCCTACTAGCATTGTATGAGAATAAAGTTTCCCCAAACCTACCCCAACCCTGAGCATTGTTGAAGAGGTGAAAATGTGATTCAGTGATTTACACTTGTTATAAAATATGAATTGCATACCATATTTTCTATTAGTCTTGATTTTTTTAAGTAATTTGAGTTCTATAAATATATTCAGAATTCAACTTATTGTTCATTAAATATTGAAACAAATTTTAAATATTGAAAATAAATTTTTTCTGCAATCAGTATTTTTCTTTATGATTTCTGCTTTTGTAACAAGCTTAGGAAGACCTTCCTCACTGTAACACTATATATTCATCAATATTTTCTTCTAGTAGTTTCTAGTTTGTTTATAGTCTTCTTAGTGCATGTATTTTTAATCAATCTGAAATTGATTTTTCGTATGCTGTGTGTAAGGTGGGGTTCCAACTTTCCTTTTCTCAATGGCCAAATGGTTAAGTATCACTGATTTAGGCATACGTCGGCCAGCAAATGCAAAATAAACTTAAAAGCTTCCTATTTTTTCTTACCTGATAGAAGTAAGGATTAGGTTCAGATTCTCCCACTCCTTGAAAATCTTCAACATTAATGAGCTGGAAGTCATACAGTAAGCCAGCATTTGCTGTACTAAACTCTGGCAAAAGCTGCACATGGGGTAAGTTTCCTAGATTCTTGTATCGCCAGTTGTAGAGGTTGCACAAGCTTTCCAAAGACAAATCCCCCCACAAACAGAAAATATTAGCAGTGTAAAATTCCTTTTAATATACCTAAGGAGGTTTCTCTGTTTCTGTGCTTCTTTCAAATTTTCATGTTAGCCATTTTTGCTCATCTTTTAAGCAATAATGCTCTTTCAACCTTAGCTTCCCTACTTTACGTAACCAAGGGTCAGAAGACTGAAGGTACTACAAAAATAAGAGTTCTATCACACTCTCTTGAGATCAATGCTATCTTTATCCCTTAAATTAAAAAGCCAAGGCAGACTAAAAATTGAGGACATTTGGAGGTAACTATGAGATGGGGCTTGCATCCTTTATGAAGTAAGAATTGGTGTGTTCTCCTCTTGTTCACTTTTTTTTTTTTTAAGCTTTCAAAATTATATTAACTGTATACCTTTTGGGGCATGAAGGAGAAGGGACAACAAAAAGAAGCCCTTAGATTATATGTTACTGAAATTAATCTTAATGAATGAAATGAAGGAAATAAATTATTTGGTCCATTCATATCTCTTGCAGTAGTCGACAAAAGTGCTTCTGGATTTACAGGTAGCCAAGTTCCTGGATAGCCAGGAATGCTAACAGTCTACACAAAAGCTATTCACAAATACTTGGATCATGGAACAAATGTCCTTAAATGGGAATGATTTTTTTTTTTCCTGTCTCCTTTACCTTGCTCTGGCTCTCCCTTGAGCATCAAGGTCCACAGTTGGAACTCCAACACGAACAAAGCGAGTGAAGAGAGACTGCTCCATGTTTGAGTACTTTTGAAAGGCCATGTTCTTAATAACTGGAGGTAACTGGTGATGATCGCCAATCATAATCCATCGTTTTAGTCGGCTAAATCCATCCTGAGGATTCTAGAAATGAAAAGTAAGGAAATGGCAAAATACTCTATTATCCTCTAGTCTCCAATTTATTACCCAAGGGACTCACTCTTCATCAAACGACTTCCTTATCTTACAAAATTACCAATCTTTACCAGCTCCACAAGGAGGAGTCTGGCAAATTTATAGAACAATTTGTGAACTAATTATGGACATTATTGCCTTGGATGACAGTGGGTGAGGGAGAATGGAGGCATTTAGAAGGCAAGCATGGAATTACCCTACTTTAATAGGCAGGGTAATCCAAAGAGGTCTGGAAGGATTAGGTCAGCATTAGGTAACGAGTACACAGAAGGAAATAGAAGCCCAAGAAGAGAAATGGAAAGATGTGAAATAAACATGTTTCACAATTAGCTGAGGACCAATTCTGAACCCACCAAAGCAGTAAAAACTACTTTCTTTAATTATCTACACTACTACTTCAATTTCCTACTCTATGTGTCTCCTAGTTCCTTGAAACATATCCTGATAGAATACATTCCAACTTCCAAGTGGCTTCACTTATAAAAACAACTTTTGGAACTCAATTTATCTGCATATTAGAGTGGTCTCTATTCTTAAGTTGGGAATTCCACATTTTGTTTTTAATGCTTCAATAGTAAAGAATATTGTACAGTAAAAAACATTCTTAAATAGCACAATTTAGCTCAAAAACTTAGGCATAAAGAAAAACAATGCATTCAGTGAATATGAAAAAATAATTCTACAAACAATTGTAACAAATGAAGAAACAGCTCATCTTCCCACTAACCTGCACAACAATGTAATTTTCTTGATTAAAATTACTAAATCTTTTCAAAATTACAGAAATAAACTATGAATTTTTAAATAGTACTTATGGAAGCAAAACAACTACTAAATAAATAGAGAGTGAATAGATTCAAGAAAGTTTACAGGGCCGGGCGCGGTGGCTCACGCCTGTAATTCCAGCACTTTGGGAGGCCGAGGTGGGTGGATCACGAGGTCAGGAGATCAAGACCATCCTGGCTAACATAGTGAAACCCCGTCTCTACTAAAGAATACAAAAAATTAGCCAGGCGTGTTGGCGAGCGCCTATAGTCCCAGCTACTCGGGAGGCTGAGGCAGAAGAATGGCGTGAACCCAGGAGGCGGAGCTTGCAGTGAGTGGAGATTGTGCCACTGCACTCCAGCCTGGGCGACAGAGCAAGACTCTGTCTCAAAAAAAAAAAAAAAAAAAGAAAGAAAAAAGAAAGTTTACAGGCTTAAAATAGAATACCAAACATAATGAAGTTAAGGAAAATACAGAACTATGGCAGTTAGCACACCCAAACTGTAGAGCTTTCTGATGCTGTCCTCAGCATTCTTAGAACTCTATTTTCTTTGCCTCAGATCTTATATTTCTTACCTGTAGAAGAAGAGGGATAAAAGTCTCTATCTCCAGAATCTGAGCAGCCTCTTCCATCAAAATGTTGTCATACTGAGAAACAAAGAGGAAAGCCTGTCATAAAAACAGCTTAAAAGCCAAACAACTACCATAATAAACATAATCATCCAAAAACCCCCAAATAATTTCAGATAAAAACAACAACAAACAAATTATTCAGACAGATAAAAATAACAACATACACATTATTCAAACAGAAACTTCATGGTCTTATTTATCACTATGCCTCTGCATTTCCAATTCAAGTATTTGACTTCAGGAAAGCCCCCTAAATACACAACTTTACATTGAAGAGATCTTGTATATCATTTCTTGAATTGCAATGCCAATTTGGTTCTTTTCAATTAAGTTATTTATTTCTACATCAGAAAGAATCAATTTATAATTATATATGAGGTCGCTCCCCTTGGTACTCTTCCTCTAGGGAGTATTTTGGGATAATTTTTTTCCTATATGAATCCTACCCATCACAACAATCCACTTCAGTCCCACCCTTGGGCATTTAATCCATCACCACAGCATGTCAATTTTACCTTTGAACCTCTTGAGTCTATTCATTTTTCTTTATTTCTACCAGCACTACCACTCTAAAAATCCAAGCTACCACTATGACTACAGATAGCAAACTCTTTACTAGTTCCTCCTCTTCCTGTCTTGACTCCTCCAAAGCACTTCCACAACTCCTTATTTCAAATCCTTCACACTACTGTTTTAGGGAAAAAAAATCTCTTAACATTGCCAGCAAGGATGTATTTACCAAGAACTGATATTCAATCTAGTTCCTGACTTCCTTTTGTACTTTATCATTCTCCTTACTCCCTAAGCTTCAACCACAATGGCCTATTTCAGTTTGTCTGAAATGGCAAAACCTTTCCTGCCTCAGGCCCTTTGCACATGCTATTCTCTTCACTTTTAGTCTAGTTGGTTCTTTATCATCCTTAAAATATCAGCTTAAAAGCCACTTTATCTAGGCCTTCTCTGACCTCTGAATCTAAAACTGATCTCAAAGTACCAAAGTACTGTTCTTTTGTCTTTCAGATCTTCACATTCATAATTCTATCTGTATATTTACTTGTTTAATGTCTGTATCTTTTCCCTAGCCCAGTTCCCAGTAATGTTAGGTATTACACATCTGTAAAAGAATGAAAAATCAAGTCTTTCTCAAACATGAGAAAATTTCATTCTTTCTTTGACAATTACTACTCTTATATCTGTCCAATTCTCATTTAGATCTATTCTCAACATGTTTCATCTTTCCTCTTCACTTCTAATTCTGATCGCTACTTAGTATGACATCTTCTTGTTTTAGTACAATACCTTCTTCTTGAATCTAAGTATACATTAGAGTTCTGTTGCTTTGTTTTTAAAGATTGCTCCCATTATTTTATTTTCCAGAGAGGTGGGAGATGGGGAGAGCATATTTACTCTGAATGTTTAATTCTCCTGTTTTTTGTTTTTTTTTTTTTGAGACGGAGTCTCGCTCTGTAACCCCGGGCTGGAGTGCAGTGGCCAGATCTCGGCTTACTGCAAGCTACGCCTCCCGGGTTTACGCCATTCTCCTGCCTCAGCCTCCCGAGTAGCTGGGACTACAGGCGCCCGCCACCTCGCCCCGCTAGTTTTTTGTATTTTTTAGTAGAGACGGGGTTTCACCGTGTTAGCCAGGATGGTCTCGATCTCCTGACCTCGTGATCCGCCCGTCTCGGCCTCCCAAAGTGCTGGGATTACAGGCTTGAGCCACTGCGCCCGGCCTAATTCTCCTGTTTTAAAGTTATGGTTCAATTCTGGACTGTTATTGAAACTACTCGAAGGTGTAGGCATGTGGATGGTCTTTTCTCTAGCTCTATAATAATGCCAGATTTCCCTCTTAAAATGATTAGGTCATTTTTGTGGGAGCTGAACAGAAGGAGGAATTCAAACACCCACATTGTCTAAGAAGTCCCTGTGTAGACTCTCAGGATAACAGGTATAATATGCAAAACAGAGTGGGGGCAACTCAAAAGGAGATAGCTTAAAAAGACTGCCTGATTCTGAAAATCAATTCTGAAAATATAATGCAATTTTACTTATAAAAAATATTTATAGATTTTGCTTTTTAAAAGGGAGATTTTAATTCCAAAGCAAAATTATCACCACTTTAGTTACTTGTTCCATGTATTTATTAGTCAGATCATTCATTCAACTCTTACTAATCTCTACTAACATATTACATGTTGGGTTGGCACCTGATGCTCCAGGCCAAGGACCAGGCTAGGAGCTGGTCTTCGTGACCTTTCAAAGGATTCCTAAATTCTATAGCCACAGATAAAAACAACAACAAACAAATTATTCAGACAG